ATTATATGTATAATTATATGTATAATTATATGTATAATTATATGTATAATTATATGTATAATTATATGTATAATTATTACTGTTGGTGTCATTTTATGTACGTATCATGTATTAAAAAAAAAAAAAAGTGGTTTGCGAGACACTTAAAAATTTTGTAAATTTTGTTAAGGAAAAAATAAATAAAAATAAATAAATAAATAAATAAATGGTTTGTATAATCTTGGTTAAGACCGGTAAGACTTACTTTTGGACCTTGTGTTATAGTACATTACACTAAAGCTATAAAAAATTTTTCTGATTATGGTTACGTATTAGTGAAGCCCACGCCACTCGTGATTACCGTTACCCGCTTGTGATGGAATACTCTGCTCCTAAAATTTTAATTTAAAACACGTGTTTTCTAGTGAACTTTGGATAAATTTATAATTATTTTTAATCCGTAATTTATTTATTGACTTATTGACGCACGTACGTGTATACGTACGCCATACCTGATACGTACGTACGTATCAGTATTGGTGGTAAATTGGTACGTACGTACGTACGTACGCATGCTAAACCAAATTTTGAAATACTATCATGCATAATTATTTTTCTGCTAAAGATCAAAAAGATCAATTTAGTTTTTTGTTATAATTGATATATTAAAATTTAGTCGGCAAAAAAAAAAAAAAGTATGTTTCAATGTGTTATATCAAAAAAGAAACTTTTAACCAACAAGTATTGACGTTTCTTTTACACTTTTTCCAATCGTTAGTAATGATCTATTAATGATGATATTCTATGAAATTACACAATAATTACTACATTTTAACATAAACTGTCTTTTTACTTACGAGTATATAAGACTCATGGCATTGCTTTTATTCTTTTGTTCTAAAATCGACTTCGATCCATCAAAAATGAGTGAAACTTGTCCGAATCCTCCTGTATGTTGTATATTTATTATTTAGGATGAAAATATGATTTTCATTAATTATGTAGAATAATAAAAATGTGATTTTATATGTATATATATATATATATAATATAAAATAGCATCCAGGTCCCCTTGGTGAAAAATTATCTGCCACGCACAGTGCGGTCGGTACTGCAGTTGACGTTGCTCAAAGCTTTGACCCTTTTAAGAAGATACATGAACACGTTTGTGCGTTTCACTTTTACAGGTATTCGTCCACTTATCCGTAATCATTAATTATCTAATTACCGTGTCATTACCGTTGTCATCAATTTTTAATTACTGATCTAATTACTGGTTATTATTTATCTAATTACGTATTACTCATTCATTATTATTACTCATTCATTCGTTGTTATTATTACCGTTACTTATTCATTCATTACTATAATTATTCATTCATTACTATAATTATTCATTCATTACTATAATTATTCATTCATTACTATAATTATTCATTCATTTTTATTTATTGCTATTATTATCCATTTTTATCCTTCTATCGCATTTTTGCTTTATTATTTCTCAAGTCATGACATGACACGACAGGTTGAAGCACATCATTACTGCAGCCACCTTAATGACGATTTTCGCCAATGTGTTATTTATGACTCTCATGAAGCTGATGCTAAGTTGATCGGTGTTGAATACATCATTTCAGCTAAGCTTTTTCTAAGTGTGTCATCCATCATTTTCTCAATTGCGATTGTATCTATTCATAATAACTAAATCTATTCTACTATCTATTCTATTCTACTATCTATTCTACTATCTATTCTATTATCTATTCTATTATATCTACTCTATTTTATTCTCTAATTCTTAATTCTAGCACTTTCCGAAGAGGAAAAAAAATATTGGCATTCTCACACTTATGAGGTTTTTCATTTATCCTTCTTACAGAGGGCGTCACGGATGGCGGCGATATAACATATGAAAATATAATATTGCTAAATTTTATAGGTAAAATCAGGAGTTTTAGTCTGTCCTTTCGGATCTTTGGTTCCTAAGGCTGTCGCTGATAAAGTAGAGGAAAAAGTGATGGAAGACTTGATTAACACGTATGGCAAGGTAAAATAAAAAAAATATGTAGACGCCTATTTTACATTATCGTTTCTCATACTAAGTAAATCTATGCAATTTTTTTTTTCTTTTGTTTAGACATGGCATTTTTGGCAAGTTGATCGAGGTGATCCTTTACCATTCGGTAAGTTTCGTTGTCCTAACATTAATAATGTCCATTAATAATGTCCATTAATAATGTCCATTAATAATGTCCATTAATAATGTCCATTAATAATGTCCATTAATAATGT